CTAACACTCCTTTCTCTTGTCTTGATTGCAAGAAGCCATTATACTTTGTTTGTCTTGTTTTCCTGTGAGCTGTGTTCCTTTAGCTAAGCTGCCCCCGTTTTGGCTACCTTGAATCTGTTTCATGTTTTAGTTGTATTTTTTTAAAAGCCGGTGCACATTTGTCAGAATATAAACAGGAAAGGAAAAAGATGTGCATGTTGGTCAGACCAGGAATTTAATCACCAAGTAGTCCCACCTGGCGTCCTGCATAGTATACTGGCCTCAGCAACGGCGAAAGCCACTGATCAGAAGAAAACTCGAACCACGTCTAAGTCCAGCCCACTGACACAGTACACCAAGCAGAAACAGAGGCACTAGAGACCAGTGAGTATCAAATTCACTGTCCAGATAAAGTCAAATTTCCTGAAGAACATGAGAAAGATGGCCTTCAAAAATCAAACGCTAAGTCAATGTTCCAACGACCCCTGCAAACAATTTAGTCAGTCAGACCCCAGTCCTGAATGAAGACTGAAAAAAACAAGATGCAGTCAAGCTGAAGAATAAAAACTTGGACAAATACAGTACTAAAACACAATAATATGTATTTTCATTTAATCAGTTGGCATATGTTTTCAGTCATTTAAGAAACATTAAATTTTAAACATTTTCAGATTTAAGAAACATTCTGGTTCTAGGAAAGATCCAGAATGATCAAAGATCATTCTGTTGAACTGAATCCATCAGTTCAACTTTTTTAACATTTACTTATGACAAGAATCATAAGACATGGCTAATATACAATTGCTATTCATGGTTTCATTTAAATTATTGATCAATTTTCTCATTGTTTTCCCAATTTACTGGTTGTTTGGATTTTTAAAGGGGCATTATAATGTGTTTTCCAGGCATATTGTGCAATTTTATAGCATAATCAAGCAACAATGTTGTCATTAAAAATGTTTTTATATTACTTTTACTTCCTAATTTAACGCCTTGAAATTGGGCCTGTCTCTTTAAAAACACCTGCTCTTTCTGACACTCTGCCTTCAGAAAATCATCACTGCATGGCTCCTCTATTAACTCTTTAACAATGTCTTTACCAGCGTGTCACTGAGAAGCGGCTGCTATAAAGAGCCCAGCAGCCGTGCAGTTCCAGCAAGTGTTTGCTGATTGACGCTGGCTAGTCTGAAGGAGCAGAGTGGGGGCGCTGTGTGGGGGAGGGCTTCTCTGTGAGGCGGAACTCCAAGGAGGAGTTTCATCTAGAAGGCGGAGCTAGATCCAACCAGGCGTTTTGCACAGCTGACTGGTTGAAATGGAGATTAAAGGATTTCTCAGACATGCACGAATCAAGGCCATGTCTGCTTTTGATGAGGAAATAACATTATAACATGATGGAAAGCTCAAAAAAGTCCATTTTCAAGAAGCTGTAAAAAGTCCAATACAGCTTCTTGAAGGAAATAATAAAACAGAATTGTACGGAGCGTCATCACATTTATTCAGTCAAAGGTGAAAAGATAAATTGTTAAATAAAGGATGTTCAAATGTAAATTAATTAAAAAGAGGCATATCTTTAGGAAGCTTCGACTATAAAGTATTTTTAAGAACAAAATGACTGAATGCATATGCCAAATAAGCATTTGTATCAAAACATTCCCTAAACACTCACCTGGAGATTATAAGCATCTTTAACGCTGCTTTATACTTGCATTTATTGCTCTGTACATTTCTATATCTCGTATTACATCACCACACTGCAATGTAACAGCGTAGCATTGGCTTTCAATAAAAGACAATGAAAGTAAAGAAGGAACAGAAAAAAACTAATCAGTGTTGTAGAACAGAGTAGATATTTACTGTGAGGTAATTATTTGTCCCCAGTTGACTCAAGACTTTTATTGATGGCGCTGAAAACCCTGATCTCTTTAAAGATCCTCCCAGGGGAAATTATTTTTGCCTCGACTGTCCCGGTGGCTTCCAGGCTTGTAATTGTGGGAATTGTGATGGTCCAGTCCCCACTGCAGCCGACTCCATGCAGCGACTCCTCCTTCTGTGGTATTGTCACTTACAGTCACCTTCAATAAATTACAGTAAAGCGTGGCTGCGGCGCTCGTTTGCCAGATTAAAATAACGAGCTTTAATCAGGTATTGCGCTTGTCCATTTGAAAATGCTTTATTTATTTGTTTGAAGGAATATTTTGTCTCACATTTTTGTGTTTCCTGTGCTACCATAACCGAAATAAAATCATCATAATTAGCAGAACTATAATCTTTAAAACATGAAGATAATTTGTGTTTCACTTATTGAATTAAGCCACTGAAATAAATAAACTCCTCAATCATATTTTAAATGGTTCTGTATATAATTTGTGATATGCATAAGATAATATTTATATTTTAGAACATGCTTCTTTTACAATTTTGGGCTAAAACTGTACAACGTTGAAATTTCTATCATATAACCGCCTGAGCCAAATCAGAACCTCCACATTTTAAGGCCTAGTCCAAAACTCATGTCAAATTGTCAAACATAAGGACAAATCCAGCCACCAGAAGTTCTTGTGTGGCCCTCTAGACTGTAGAAACAGAACCTTCTATTTTACAGTTGTCTACTTAAATATTATTTTATCAGTCAAATCAGCAGTTTTGTCTGCACACAGCCTTGATATCATTTCATTTCAAAACGTTCTCATGAATGCAGACAGCTACTTATTAATATTTTAACAGTTTGTTAATGTTTTGTCAATGCGGTCCACTATAACTGGCCCGTTGAGGCCGTTCTCGATCTTGATGTGGGTCCAAATGAAATTGAGTCTGACGCTCTGTTTTCTGTCCGTCCATTAAGACGCTCCTGGTGTTTTCATACACACCCTGCTGATCCACCGCAGGCTGCCACTCTGACCCTCACAGTAGTTCAGACAGTGCCCACTAGTATCATTACTGAATCTCATCTGTAAAGAAAAAGATACACCCTGCTGGTAGCGTAGGTGTTATTGTAAAGAAACTTTATGGTTTTGTTAACTTTTTAAAATCTAATTTGTCCAACTTTTATAGGGAAATAGATCCTCGCTCTGTAATTTAAGGTCAGAAAACATTCAAATTATATCCAGTGACAGATCTGTCCATCATCAGGTCTGTCCACTGAGTCCTCTGCTGTTTGGGAGGGAGCACAGGGTCTCCCTTTCCTCTTATGGTCTGTTTCTCTTCCTCTCATTCAGTCTCACTGCCTTCTGTTCTATTATTGGTCCAGGAAAACATTCAATCTCATTAGGTTCCAATCGAACAGAAAACAGGAAAAATTCTCTGAATTTATCTCATTTAAATTCTTTTTGAAAGCAGGATTTCCGTGGGTTTTTTTGTTTGTTTGTTTTATTTTTATTTTTTGCTTTATACCATCGTGAGCATTTTAAATAAAACGGTAAGCTTGAATCTGCTTAATTAGCTGGGTTAATATCTGCAGGTTCTACAAATAATCGAACAATACCACACTAAGTCTGACTTAATTTTTTCTGAAGTGTGGCTTACAGACATTTCAACATTTTTTTTTTTTTTTTTTTTGGCATCTGGACTGATGAAGCACTCAACTTTATTTCAAGATCTAAACCTCTGGGTTATGTTAAACTAATAGATTTGCTCAACAGTTTGTTTTTATTTTCCTTTAAAAAATACTAACAAAACACACATGGTTCAAGTTAGACCCAGATAAAAGATCAAACATGTCAGGTTACATTAAATTAATGGAAAAATGATTACATTCATGAAGCATTGTTACATTTTTTCCCCTTCAAACTTTGGCAGGTTTTTTTTTTTCATATTTATCCAAATCTGGAAAACAGATTTCACACATTTTCAGGAGTTACAAGGCTGTAGGAATCCTGAGAATATGCAGGATTTCTAGTGCAGATGGAAAAAAATAAATGAAATCATTTAGATATTATTCATTACTAATGTAAATGTCCTAGTTTCAAACGTTCAATGCAACTTCCATGTTGATCACACAGCGGTATGCAAATTGAGAAAATGTCTACCTAACGCGAGGGATATTAAATCACATTTTTAATTTTATGTTAATTTTTTTTGACATATTTTTAATATTTATGTGCAAAGGTCACACCAGTCCAGTCCCACAAGGTCAAATTGAGCAAATTAAACCAGCATTGACAATTATTTGGAAAAACCTCAAATGATTTATTACTAAGAATAATAAAAAGAAAATTCTTTTAAAAATTTGTTTCCACCTAAAGCTGCCTCCCTCTGTTTTATTAAACTTTTTTATTGTTTTTTTTTTCTAACAACAATTTCAAAATAGACTGATTCTACATCAGCGTTAAAGTGTCACTGAAACATTTTGTCTTATTGTGGACAGTAATTAACTATTAATTACTGAATATCCGTTTGGATTCCGCTGTTATTACTACACCTGTCAGTTAACTCAGGCTGTCCCATCCATACAGCTCAGTGCCTGCTTCAGGCAGAGCGGCTACGCAGAGAGACTAGGGGATACGTCTCTTTCTGGCGATTCGGACGCAATGTGGAAGGGGAAAAAAAATAAAAATAAAACCAACAAGCATCCTGGGCCGTTTCTGTCTAACGCTCATCCGTTTCGACAGGGGAAGCGCGTCCCGATGGCCTAACCAGAACTTCTTATTCGTCGCTCTGCCATGGAAACGGGGGCAGAGAGAAAGGACGGCTGGAGCAGACCTCAAACGACCGAAGTGACCCAAATTCCTATTTGCGACCTTAAAACGCAGAAAAGCGTTCAACGGATGGCGACCCGCGTTTCTTGCGTGTAGGGGAGGGCAAGGGGGGATGGGGGGTGGGGGGTGACCGCAGGCTGCTGCGGCGGACCGCGGCGAAATGAGACGGGCTGAGTTCGGAATGAGAGCACTTTGCAGAGATGCTGCAGTGATGATGCTATGGCTGGTAATTTTCCCTCTCGCAGCCAGGCCTTATAGGACAGCGCTGAGCCATCAATTCTCCCTGACCGATCGATGCTCCGCAGCCCGCCGCCGCTCGGCTCTTACCGCGGATGATGGCCGGCGGCGGTGTCCTCGGTGTCGGATGCCGGAACAGACAGAGTGGCGGACGGGATCGCAAGGCTGCACGAAGCTCACCGTCCCGCTGATGAATGAGGAGCAGCAGTCAGACCGGTTCTGTGGGAGAACCACCGGAGACATTGGTCGCAAGCCCCGCCCACTGCAAGCCCTACGTCACCGTTGTGAGTGACGCTTCGGGTTCTCAGCGTTTCAATGTCATTCAATACCAAAGCAGCCATCCAGTGAGCAGACTCACCGTCCACCGCCTGCATCTCTGTGCAAGAGTATCTAGTTAATTAGACACTAAAAATGCAAATATTAAAAACTGGAAAGAATGTTTTGTAAATGTCTGCTTTACAAATAAAAGCTACATCTAATTTTTCTTTTTTTCTGTACCCAGAACTGAAGTCTTTAATTTCTTCATTGAAATGTTAAATTAAATTTTGACTCCATACTGAGATGTCACACGCAGAGAGAGAGAAAAACTAAGGAGCTATTCTCCCCAAAGCTGAGGGAAGTGATGTCTCACATTGTGCTTGGAAAACATGGCAAAATAAAACGTTACTGGAATAAGAACTTAGTATCTGGTTTACTGGTTTTGAAATGATTCATATTTAACGTCAAGCGAACAAGAACAGAGGAAGAAAAGCCCTTTCGCTGATGGTCTTTATGTTGAAACCGTTTGTTACTTATTGCTGCTGCAGTTCCAGTGAAACTCCAGACCCAATTGTGACTGAAGTACTGGAAGAGGACGTTCACACAGTTGTGCCGACACAAATGTCTGTGAACCAAAACAGATGCAAGAGACTCACACGAGAAATATGACTCATATTTCTAAGACAAGTCTTTTGCATTATATTTCCATCCATCCATCCATCCATCCATCCATCCATCCATCCATCCATCCATCCATCCATCCATCCATCCATCCATCCATCCATCCATCCATCCATCCATCCATCCATCCATCCATCCATCCATCGATCCATCCATCCATCCATCCATCCATCCATCCATCCCTTGTTGTATTCAAAGTGTTGTTTCTTGTGTCATATTTCTCTTCTGAGAAACATGACTCAGATTTTAGCTTCACGGCACCGGCATGTGCAGAATCAAGGCGTAACTTCCTGAAGGACTGGTGTGGACATGTCCCCACCAACTTTGGCATGAAGGGCAGGGGCGGAGCCACATGGAGGCCAGAATCTGACCTGAGAGCACAGTGACGCTGTTTATCTGGAAATCCTTCAGCGTTTCATCCTTCGCTGATAAGTTGCGTGGAGTGCAGGTTTGGCACTGTGCACATGCTGCCAAAGACACCAAAAGCTGCTTCAGTGACCAAGGTGTTCCTGTTTTTGATTGGCCAGCAAACTTCCCTAACTGGAACCCCACAGAAAATCAATAGGCTGTTGTCAAGAGGAAGATGAGACACCTGACCAAACATAGATGATCTGAAGGGCTTCCGTTTCATCCAAGCGGTGTCACAGGATGATCGCATCAATCGGACAGTTTATATCTTTTTTTTTTTGGTTTCAATTGGTATCCAGGCGTTTGCTTCTGCATACACCTGTCATGATCCATCAAGTCTTTTATAATTTCATGGCTTCCCTCACTTGAAAAGGAGGACTTGAGGAGACTTTAGGATTTCACTCAATCTTTTCTATTTTCACCAGTGAGTGTGAATCAATGAAGATGTGAAACACCAACAGAACACAGAACATTTTTAACACACATTTTAAACATTTGGTTCCAAGTTAATGATTTAATGATGACCAAATCCGTTTTTAACCTTAGACATACATTTATTTCACAGTTTTAAATATGAATTCAAGTATTGACTCATTGAATTCTGTATTTCATTGAATCAAACAAATCCAAGCATTTTAGAAAAACTTTATTTTCCTCCGGATATAAGTTTGGCATTAAATATCTTAAATATGCATTAATAGAGCTAATCTATAAAAAAAAACGAGCAGTGCAAACTGTTCCTTCAATAAATTCTGCATTTATTTTCATCAAATGCAAAACCAAAGTCAAATTACATTTGAACTGACTCCAGTGAACAGCTTACCGGTAGTCATTTTTAATCTCAGGCCTTTTCCCATGAAATGCTGCTTTGGAGACTGTTTGCCTTCCTCAACTCTGTTGCAAAACCAGCCTTATGTTTGGTGGATTCCTTACATTACCTGAGTTGAGGGCGCTGCTGATTGGACTACATTTCTTGTGCTGCAGAGTGCCACACTAATGTGTGTGTTCATGCACCCACTTATAAACCCATGAGCAGATCTGTGCAACATGATCCACAAGACACCTCACAGCTCCTGTGAAACCTCTCCTGCTGCAATACATCCTGGTGCTTTAGCAGTGTGGTTCACAACAGCAGAGTAAACATATAGAACTATGACTTCACAGATTCCTCCTGATTAGGAAATTATGATCGACTATCTCTGGCCCACACTTAGGGCCCTGGGTTGACCTTGGGGTGTCACACTAATACAAAAAGCCGGGCAGGAAGGAGGGCTAGAAATATTTTTAGAAAAGTGGGTGACAAACAGGGCGAAAGATTGACATCCATCCATACATCCATACATACCTTGTTGTATTCAAAGTATGAACTAAAATATGATTTAGAAAGAAATTCAAACAAAACAATCAACCAAAGGAAAGAGCAAAAAGAAAATACACAACAAATGTTGATTCTCCATGTTTTATACTATAAAATAGATTGTTCTAAATGTTGATCTAAGGCAGTGGTGTCTCACTCCAGTCCTCAAGGGCTGCTGTCCTGCAGTTTTCAGATGTGCCACAGCAATTTGATGAAAGTATTGAAATGGTTTTCTATGATTTGAAAGTGCAGAGTAAAATATACAAACGTTAGCGGTCGCTGTTATGGCTGAAGATTAATATTATTGATTCCAGTACATAATATTTGCAGTCTATGATACTGATAAGTATAGATATCTATTTCTCAGATTTTTGATTCAGTTTTAAACCAAAATACTGAGTAAATGTAAGAAAGGTATTTTGTGAGCTAGATATTGGAGGTTTTCTGTAAACTAAAGTTAAAGTACCTTAATTTAAGACAAAAATATCTGTACATTTTTTTTATAACTTATTTCAGTAAATGACCACTTAAATGATATTCAGAGATTTTATTAAGGTCATCTAAGTTATAGATATATAATGACATATTTTGAGCGTCTGAATGAGGCAGTGTTCATATTAAGCGAACGTAATAATTATTTAATAGTGAACAAAGGTGAGTAAATACATTCTAAAAGCTGATGTTTCTTTACACATTTTGTAGCATTGGCTGTGGGTTTGCAAAAGGGCTCCTCGCTCTGACGCTAATCTTGTTTGGGGGCCATGACGTGGAAATGTTTGAGGACCCCTCGTGTACAGAAATAACAAAAAGTGAAACACGCACTCCCCCTGGTGGCTCCCTGTGAATAAAAGTTGAAACGCACAATCCTACACAAATTAAATCGGATTATAACATGATTGGTTGGATATTCGTATCTATGAACCGGATGTGTGTTTTCTTTTCTTGTAAAATTCCTTGACAAATCACATTTTGTGAAATATCACATATTAAATCCCATACATTCCAAAGAAAGCAGCTTGTGGGTCTGCTCCTTTTTCTATCACTGCAGAGTGAGAGTTTATCTCTAAACTTGCAAAACTAACATCGCAGAATAGAATTAAAGAAAATAGAACTACTATGATCATGTCATTGGAGAAATAGAATAAAAACAATAATATAAGTAATATTAAGGTTAGGTCCTGAAATACATTAGGAACACAATACCATTATAACAAGGGTCGGTCCTGGAGGGCCGCCGGTTTCTTGCATGTTTTAGTTCTCTCTCTGGTGGTTGTAACAACTTTGTCAGCATGTCAGTGTTTTTCAGGCCTCTAACGAGCCATCATTGGATCCAGGTGCGTTAAACCAGGGAGAGAACTAAAACATGCAGGATGCCGGCCCTCGAGGACCCACTTTGGGCACCCCTAACATTGCATTATAACATTCAGATTTGTATGGCGTTGGGAAAAGTTTCTCTGTTTCTATTACACATACGGTGCACTTGCTCAGCATTTAGATAGATAAGGCAGGCGCGCGCCATCGGACACCGCTTGTGTGCGCCGGCAAGTGCGCCGGTGTTGTAATGGTGGAGACCCGAATTGAACCAATCTGCGCTGTGACAGCTCGGCACGTGACGCAGAGTGAGTCGCTGCTGTGGCTGGACGAGAACACATCGACATTTAGCAACAAAAACAGTCGCACTTTTCAGGTACGTAAAGACGTTTGCTCGCCCCTGCGTCATGTCAGCCCAGATAAAGTTTTGCGAAGCGGGTTTTGATACGCGTTTCTCTGAACTGTGAGCTAGAAATTCGTTTCATTTGTACAGCAACAAGCTGCCGTTTGGTCAGGGCCTTCACTATTTCCTGGTCCAGGTCCACAGCTGAGCCTGCTGCTGGGTGCTAACTTTAACAGGGTTTTAAAAGGAGCCGCCTGGCCTTTTTGCTTCTGTGCTCACAGCTCTGACGCGTTCACCGGCTCCACAACCTGGTCAGTAAATTCTCATGCAGCCATTTGTACGCTGGTCGGAAACAGCTGTAATCTCTGTTATTGCAGCCCAGGTGCTCATAACCAAGTTTTGAATGTTATGTATGTTTTGGGGTGCTTGCTCTTCTTTGTGTAACCTTGCTGAGTTGAGAAACTGCGAACCGACTAAGTGAGAAATGTTTGCGGAAATGAAAGTTCTTATCGTATGATACCGTTGTCGTACTGCACCACCTGTGGACGTTGCCTACATTTTGATTGAAACCTGATCAAAAACAATTACTCAGCAGAGCAGCTCACTTCATTGCCTTTTAAAGGGATAATGCATTTCTGCTTTAATTTTCTTTTTGACATTAAATCTAAGTCTCAGTATTAGTGGAAAGGGCAGAAAAGGACATTTTGAATGACAGCAGGTTCTTTGGAATGCTAAGGTTGTTGTGAATCCTTTCAGGACAGTGTGTACAATAAAAACCGTACACGTGATCAACTTTGAGAATCACAGTCTCTAAAATCAATTATGATTTGATTTTTAAAAGGCAGACCGTCATTGTAAAAGTTCAGTATCATCCACAAATTAGATGTGTAATCCCAAACATAGCGACTCAGAGGAAAAACAACTTTATTTTGAATACTTAATAACTCAAAGAAAATATTGATGAGTCATTAGTACCGTGCTCCCCCCTGAAATATAAAATCACAACCTTGGTACAACTTGGAATATTGTACCAAGTGTACAATATTCTAATTTTTAAAAGAAAAATACTAAAACATTTACATCAGAAAGGACTATGTCAGTCTTTGTCAATCCAATAATCTCTAGATTTTCTACATTTGCTAGCAAACATAAGTATCCTGTTTGAACTGACTGAACTATGCCGCTGTGGACTGCTTCTCTGCCGACTTAAAAATGCTGGATGAGAAATATACATTTCTGGAGGGTCGCTCTGGGAGAAATAATGTTAGATTTTCGGGCATTCTAGATCACATTTATTTTATGGATCCTGGCTGAGGTGCTGCCTTTTCAAGAGAAGCCACTTATTTTTTTGAATACACAGACTGAAGCATCAACAAGGCAAGGTGATCCCTTGAGACCCATCATTTTGAGACATCATTATTTTCATCCATGAGGAAATATTCTGGAAAGTTGCAGAGATCAGATGTATAAAGAGTACAAAATATTTTTTCACTAGACTTTCCTTGCTCCATTGGTAAATGTAGAGCTACATTTACAGAAAGGTGCGGGGTGTCCGGTATCAGATATGGACTAGTTTGTTGGCTGAAGTGCCCAGACATTTATTTTATTAATATAAAAATGTTCTATGAGAAACTTATTTGGGATTTCCCAAGGTGGGTCCCAAGCACAGCCAGCTCTGTTGCTTTAAGAAATGAGAGCCATATAATATTTCTGCTTCTCTCTTGATATGATTATCCAGAATAATGAAAACCTACAGAGTGGTAGACTGGCCATTGCCTTCCTTTCACAGTCTGAGCTTTCTCCCAGTCACTTGGATTACCTCCGGTAGGTTTTCTACTGATCCAATCAGCGAACAGGAGGAGACGTTGTGATCCATGACGTTGATTTTCTGCTTTATTTTCGAATTGTAGTCTGCCTGTAGTTTTAGCAATGGTGGCGGAGGAAGTGAAGGAAACTGTTCAGTCCATGTTTTTCATGCTTCCAAACATTAAATCAACAACAGTTGCCTCGTTTGTATTGGCTCTTTGCTGTGGCGGATTATTGTTTACAGCACAGGCATTTCAGGTAAGCATCATAGCTTCAAACTTCTGCATTACATAAGTCACAGACAAACGTTAGCGATTTGATATAATGTAAAACTAAAACCCAATCCACGCCTCCAAGAAGACGTAGTTTCCCAACGACTCGGAGCCCTAACCCTCTGTTTGAAGGAACATATTGAACAAAGGTCTGGTCTTTACCAGACTGGTAGAAAATTAACTTTTTATTTTTCTTAGCTGAAACTCATTTGAAAGATATTGTGTACAATTAAAATGTACATGGAGTCACTTATGTTCCACCTACCCAGAATGTAGATTCGCACACTTCTAAAACGAGAAACAATTGTTATGATCAGGAAGGCGACTGTTCAGGGATTTCTTGTCCAGTGATGGAAGGCTGCCCTAATGTGGGATGCAGGCTGTCATGTTGGGTGGTCACAGCTTGACCAGCTTGGTCTTTTTTGCATATTGTAATAGATCTTCTGCCAAGTGAAGCTTGTATCCACATAAAGCAAGTCTTTTATAGCCGTTCAGATGGTGTCTGTCATTGAGAAGCATGTTTTAAAGGCAAACATTTGGGGAGCGTTCTGTTCTAAATCGCCCAAACTACAAGTGACATCAGCAAGCTGTCAGGCGGCTGCTGTGGAATTTTTATTTACTCATTTCTTGTGTAAAACTCTAGCTCATCTATTGGTTTTTAATAACTCACTTCTTGTTTTGTTTAATGCAAAGTTCAATGTTTTTTTAACCCATTTGATCTGCATTGCCATCTTTTTTTTTAATTTTATTTAGGAATGCTAGCATTTTTACATGTAGGAGTGGGCGATCGTGACAAACACATGAAAATTTTCATTGTAAAATCACAATCATGATCCATCATTTTCCAGTTGAAATATCCGTTCTTTTACACATGACGTCTTAAGCTTTTTTTTTTTATGTATTTCTCAGACTGTGGAAGCCACTCACTGAGCGATGGCCTCACCTGTCTCTCTGTACCACTCCAGCTCTCCGGACTCTCACATCGCTAGTGTAGGTTGGATTTGTTTATGTTTGTATTTGGAATCGAAAGGTTTTCCGTAAAATGCAGAAAATTTCAAGAGATGATTTGAATACTTTTTGTTCATGTAATAGTTTGCTGTGTAAAGCACTTGCCTAAAAAGCAAGTAGAAACACTAAATATTCAATGTATGAACACAATTGCCTGTAAATGGTTTGGTGTAAAAACGAACCATGATGCCTACAGTTCAGGGACTGTGATTATTGCTACCGTGACTAGCTGGGCAGCACGTTCTCTTGAGCTTGGACAAGCTGGAATCGGAATGCGAGAGTTCAGGGTGATTGTTACTTTTGGGAATAATTGAGTCTGTTTTAGTTCGGCTGCACCTGTAGCGCCTCTCTGAGGTGAAACGGAGAGAAGCCAGGGTGGGAGCTGTCTTTAGTGATGATTATGAGCCCAGTAAGCCATAACCTTACAGGTAAAAATGTGCATCAGACCAACAGTCCTCTGAGCTGTTGTTATGACTCTGGAGCCCAGCATTGTCTGCAGCAGAGCAGCTGCCTACCACACTGTGATGCAGGCTGTCAGCAGGCTCTCCATGGATAGAAGGTTGGAGTTTAGGTTGTATTTCTTGAGGAAGTAATCTTCCTGAATATCAGACCGGCGGAGGTCAGTTTTCTCTTCGGTACAGCACAGGTAAACTTTGGAATGACCTTTTATACTTGGTAAAACAGACACAATATACTTCTGTAAAACAGTGTAAACTTTATGCAATAGTGTCATTGTCGTGTTTTTTTTTAATTATTGTCCTAGATTCTATTTAAATTCCCATTAATGCTTTGCAGATGTGTTTTTATGTAGTTTATTTAGCCTCCTTCTGCATTATTATTTTACCAATATCTTTAATCTGTATTTTAATTGTGCAAAATAAACTAAAAGTAAAATGTTTCTTCCTTTTAGACTGGCAGAAATTCGCTGAAGATGGAATTGTTAGCAGATGTCTCTCTACTTCCAGGAGAAGATCGAATTACAGGTAATGAAGCAACTGTCAGAAAATACACATCAGCTGCACTTTACCTGAGCGATTTTCATATTTTTAAAAATGTACTTTTTTTTTTTGAGTTTGGCAAACATTTTGAGACATTGTAAGTTTTTAGTATTCCAAAATATTACACTTGGCACACTAGTATATGCTGGAATAAAACATATTTTTTGAGTTCAGACTAGAAATAAGAAGGAACAATTATGTGAACTTGTAATGGGGCCACAAACTGACGAGTTGAATGACCTGGAAGTGTCGCATGCGGGTCATTTTCATTTTAAGTACCGACCGTTCTTTTGATTTATTATCACTTTTTACAATACTTTATTTCTACAGAATTAAGAAGCAGCCATAGAATTTTTTGCAACTAATTTGTGTCTTGTTTTCTGTTCTTGTCTGTAATAGGCTCAAACATGACACAAAGTGAAAAATGTCAAAGTTGTTGCAGTAATTTGATATTGTGTCTACTTTCAGATCAGGAGATCATCTACATGTGTCCATTCAATGGAGCTGTTAAAGGGAAAGTGTTGATTACCAACTACAGACTGTCCTTCAAAAGCTCAGATGCTGTAAGTTTTCTGAAGTGTTTGTATGTCTGTGCAGAACGTCAGCCAGTCGACACACAATTATTAACAGCACAGTTTTAACAGTCATTCTTCAACCTTCAGCTTGACGTGCTGCAGTTTAACGTTAATAACTTCATAGCGTGTACTTGAACTGTGAATTCTTTATTTCCATCCATATTGTTCATCAGTGAGTGCAGAGTTAACTGTTTCTCTGTGCGGCAGGACGTGCCGCTGGCCCTGGACGTTCCTCTGGGTGTCATAAGTCGAGTGGAGAAGATGGGTGGAGCTTCGAGCCGCGGAGAAAACTCATATGGATTGGATATCACATGCAAGGTGAGTAACATGTGCATTTGCAGTTTTTATTTGAACATCCAAAAATTGAGGAGTGCAGCTTGGAGCAGTAAAATTTTCACATATTGCATTTTTGAGATTTTTTTTTTTTTAGCTAGCTTGGTGCTAATTACAACCCAAGCATGTGTTGATGGTGAGTTTAGAATTTCTGGCAGTGGGTTCTGTTGGAGAAATCTTTCATTCTGGGAAAGGTTGGCTGGTTTCCCAGGGTACAAAATTTAGATGATGCGCAAGAAGTTCAGGTTCGTGCAAGCCGAGTGAACAACCTGAGGCTTCTGCTGCAGATGTAGCTTCTGATAGGTGTGACCAGTGATGTCCTTGCCCGTTGCTGTGGCAATCATTGGACCCGCTGCTGGACACCAGCGATGATGTGAGCTGTCAGGAGGGAGGTTGTCTCTGTTGGTTCCCTGAGACAGTGGAAAATTGTATTAAAACATTAGTCTTTTAAACCAGTCCAATTTATATACTTTGACCATTATTTAAAAATGTACATTTGAATGCCCTTCTCTAATGATTTTTTTTTCCTGTGATGATGATAAAGTGTCTGATTTTTGGGTCCTCAGGACATGAGGAATCTGAGATTCGCTCTGAAGCAGGAAGGCCACAGCAGGAGAGGGATCTTTGAGATGCTCTTCAGATATGCCTTTCCTGTTTCACATAGTTTGGTAAGTTCTTCTGTGACTCGCCTGAATCAAATGATTCATCCAGCTCAATAGCGTCCTGCTGGTTATGCAATTCAATTGTGACAGAGAAATCTTAAAGGACTCCCTTGATCTCAGCTTTTGTTATTTAGATTTCAACTGAAAATGTGTTTCCTTTCTTGCAGCCTCTTTTTGCTTATGTGAATCAGGAAAAGTACACTGAGAATGGCTGGCTCGTCTATAAAGCTATGGAGGAGTTTAGGCGTCAGGTAAATGTCTGGATTATTTGCTGCTTTTTCAGGCTAGAATTTGTGTTTTAACTAGTGTCGCATCTAAACGCCGCTCGGACAACATCGCAGTATTGTAGTCGGTCTTTTCTAATTTAATGTCGTTCCTACAGGGCTTACCAAACAACAAATGGCGTATTACATTCATCAATAAGAGTTATGATCTGTGTGACACGTACCCGACCGTCCTTGCAGTCCCTTTCAAAAGTAAAGAAGATGACCTTAGAAAAGTGGCTGCCTTCCGGTCAAGAGGACGCATACCGGTAAGAGCAAGCTTTTTAACCAGATAAACTAGTGGGATTTCTTTACATCACAGAACACATTCTTAAAATGCATGCACATGAGATTGGTTACATGAGCTGTGCTTGCATCTCGCCATGCAGACGCTAGTTACCATGGTGTTTTTCACCTGAAATTGAACCATCTTTGAATTTTGGTCCAGGTTCTGTCATGGATCCACCGGGAAAATCAGGCAGTGATTGTTCGCTGCAGCCAGCCCCTCGTTGGAATGTCTGGTAAAAGAAATAAAGACGACGAGCGGTACCTGGACCTCATCAGAGAGGGAAACGACACCACAAAAAAACTCACCATTTACGACGCCCGGCCCAACGTCAACGCGGTCGCAAACAAGGTCAGAAGGAAAAAGAAGTACTTCTAAACAATAGCAACCAACCTGGAGTCATGTTTCAACAATTCAAACTACTGTGGTGTTACTGTGTCCACCTTCTGACCGCATCAGTTAGGAACTAGGAAAGGGAAATGGACAGGAGGATAGATTAGTAACAAAGGGTGAAGAGCATCAAGTGATGAAATGGATGCATGAGGCTGAAGCGAGATCATAAAGAGAGATAAAATCAGTCTGCTGCTCTTTGAGTTGATGCAGAGGGAGTTTTCAAAATTCATGTTATGCTCTTGGAAGTCTGATAGAGAAGCACAGAGGTTAGAAAGAGCATTTCTGTGTCTTTGAGGATCAGAGGAGTATTATGAGAGCGTACCAAAAGAGGAACTTTCACACTGCAATGAGGAAGTCCAGAGTAGCAAAAAAAGAGAGAATAGTGGATGACATGCATAGAGAGAGTGAGACAATAGCAGTCTTAGTCACTGATGGGTTCACAGTAAGGGTGTGGTTACAGTGTACAGAAAGAGTGGAACCAGAATGGTAGCTCCAAGTTAAAAAAATAATTAAGATAATTGTGATATTTGGTTTGGATGCACTGACACTCTCTACCATGAGTTGGAGCAAGAGGTTTAACTGGAGGTGACAGATTTGAAAATGCTTAGACTTTTCCTTTGGATTCAGTGACCAAGATGAGAAATAAGCAGGTTTATTTCTCATCTTGGCTTTGCTGGTTTTACTCAACAAAGCAGCCTTAGCTTTGTTGAGTAAAACTACAACACTCCAGTTGTGCGGTGGTAATTTTGTTTTGGTTTGATTGTATGAATATTGTCGGTGGCATAGCTCTATTAATCTTTTGCCCACACAATTTGTGGAACATGCAGCAGGCAAATCTGCGCCATCTTCTGTTGGATGCAGGCCGTACAACAAAACAATGAATTGATGGTGCGCTGGAAATATTAAGTAGTCCTGCAGCTCTAAATTACCTTTGCAGTAGAGTATTTCTAATTTATATTTTTTAAATATTCCAAATATTTGACAAGCAATGTCTTCTGTCGTTGTATCTGTACCCATTTTCCCACAGTAACTGTAGACGTTGCACTGCTCCAGCTTGCACCAGCTATTCAAACTGGATAAAAATAGACACAAAATCATCACTAGCAATGTGGTGGTTCAGGTTTAATAAACGGCTTTGTGGGTGGTAAACCAATGCACTTGCACATGCTCCTCCCAGTATTTTGCTCTCTCTACTAATCATCATATGTTCCACATATTTATGAAGATGTACACAATTAATGGATTGCACCTGCAAAGGAGTTTCCTTTAGGTTTTGCTTGGGTCTATAATAAATACTGTGAATGAATGTTTAGTCCTTCCAATAAGAGTGTTACAGAAATTTTCTTCTGTTTGTCTACCAATGTAACTTTAGCTTCACATTGTGTTGGCAATTTCAGGCCACTGGAGGGGGCTATGAAGGGGACGAGTACCTAAATGCTGAGCTAGTCTTTCTGGACATCCAGAATATTCACGTTATGAGGGAGTCCCTTAAGAAACTCAAAGATATTGTCTACCCAAATGTGGAGGAATCCCACTGGCTGTCCAGTCTAGAGTCCACACACTGGCTAGAACATATTAAGGTAAGCATAGAAAGATTCATTCTACTTTCAAAGGTTTTGTGCGTATACTAAAAACTCTATGTGTGTAGCTGGTGTTGTCGGGAGCCATCCAAGTGGCCGACAAGGTTTCCAGTGGGAATTCGGTTCTGGTTCATTGTAGTGACGGATGGGACCGGACGGCACAGCTTACCTCACTGGCCATGCTGATGCTAGACAGCCACTATCGCACGCTAAGGGGCTTCCAGGTCGGTAACTTCACACCAAACCAAACCGGCTGGATTCGGCCCGATTTTAAATAATCTGTCAAACTTTTCTTCATAGGTCCTGATTGAAAAGGAATGGATCAGCTTTGGTCACAAATTTGCATCGGTAACATTCTGATGTTTTTTTTTTTTGTTTTGGTTTTTTTTTTTTTTTTCAGACTATGCTACAGTTGTGTAGTTTTGTTGATTATAATTAGGTCACACTTATTATAAGACATGCCAATGAAATATCCACATAAATGCAATTGATTGCGCAACTTATTTACTAAAGGGGCAGTATTATGTAAATCCACTTCTTTGATCTTTGTCATGCTGTAATGTCATCAAAAACACACCTGCACTATTTTACTTTTTTTTTTTCCATGCATGTTTAAGAAATCTCATGAGTTACGTTTCAGTGAAACGCTGGTAAAAATGTTACAAGGTTAAATAAAATATAAAATACAACTTTTATGACATCTGAAGGTGACATTAGTTACTTGATTTTGCTATAAAATGGCATTCTTTGGCTAGAAAACGCGTAATATTGCCCCTTTAAAAAAATTGTTGACTGTTTGTGTTTTTGTGTGTTTAGCGGATTGGCCACGGTGACAAAAACCACGCAGACCAGGACAGATCGCCAATATTTGTTCAGTTCATTGATTGTGTATGGCAGATGACCAAACAGGTTAGTTAAGCACAAGTGATTGATAAGATGCTCTTATTAAGACATTTACTTGCATTGTTTTTAATTTACTGTTTGTATCTGATGAAACTGTTAAAAAAAACAAAAAACTACAAACTCTTAAAATGTTTTTTTCTGGAATAAGTTTTGTGAGCTTGGTTGAATTGCATATATTTAAGTTATGGAGGATAGTTTTGTCTTTCTCAAATCGCCTCTTGAAACTCATTTTTATTCTTTGGCATTTAATTGAGGCCTGATATGTAGCTGTTCCATTTTTATTTTTATTTATTTTTTATAGAAAAAATATTTAGCACAAACATGAACAGAGGTGAAATGTGGTCCATCTAAAGGTCTGTCAAGCTGTGACTGTTTGGGGTAAGAAATGGCTGTAAGGGTTAACGGAGGATTTGGGTGCAGGAGCAGAAACACATGATTGTTGGCGTTTTGGAAATGTAACCGGATTTTGTCCTCTCAGTTTCCTACAGCCTTTGAGTTCAATGAGCATCTCCTGCTCACAATCTTGGATCATCTCTACAGCTGTCGCTTTGGGACTTTCCTCTACAACTGTGAGAGTATACGAGACCAGCAGGTAAGTGACCATCAAGGGTTCCTTCCCTTATTTTCCTAACGTGGCTGTTTAAGACAGCGAACGACTCAACTTATTTGTCACAGGTTGGTTCAAAACGACTACGGCCATATTTAAACTCCTTGAAACCACATTTGTTGATGTACTACTGCAAAAGTTTTACACACGCTGACACACACACGTCCTTGCACTTCAAAAATATATTTTTAGTTTTGGGGTTTTGTTCCATCTTCCTGAAAGGCTGCGAGCTTCCGTCTTCATCAGTGAGTTGTCTGTGAACCCTGAACTTTAGTGGAATTAAACCTTGCCTAAATAAAATAATAAGAAAACATTAAATATGAAGTGTTAGACAAAGTCATGTATTAAGTGCAATTTTCACACTAAAAGGTGGCATGGGGACAATTGAAAAAAAATATAATTATTTTTTCTCAGAAGTGTAGTCAAATTTAGGTGAATTTTGCCGCTTTGCAGTTTGCATTGCTGCTGCATAATTTCACAGCAGGTGAAATGTTTGTGTATATTTAAGCAAACTTTCACACCATGTTTATTTTTTACATGTTGACTTCTGCATAAAATATGGCACCTTATATTTTTTTGTGCATACATGAGTTCCCTAGTCTTAAACCTCTTTTCCAATGTTATTTTTAAACACAAACTTTTGATAAGCCAGCAGTACGTCTTGAACTTTGACCTCTTGTCAGGAAATAAACATTAGTTTACGTGCAGTGTTTTGAGAACAGTCTTTGGACTCGGGTTGAGAAAGACTGTTGTAAATATATCTAGTACAGATCAGTAGAGCTGCAGAAAGTGAGGACCAGAAAAAGGTTCTGAAATGGCCTCTAGTTGTTGGTAATTACTGTGAAAGTGGTTCTCTGTATGTGGTGTGTATAAGTACACCCATACAAAGATCAACGCACAGTCATCTTTCTGTCATTGACTTGAAATGTGTCTCTCTGATTCGATTGTATTTACTTTCTTGTTGTAAAGTGCCTTGAGACAACATGATGTGTCAATAACCCAAGTTGCTCTCTGTCTCTGCATCAGGAGCTGCGATCGAAGACGGTGTCTCTGTGGTCTCTGGTCAACAGCAAGATGGATATTTATTTGAACCCATTCTACACCCCAGAGTCTGGACAGGTTCTATACCCCGTGGCAAGCATGCGCCACCTAGAGCTGTGGGTGACCTACTACATCCGTTGGAACCCGCGTATACGACACCAGGTAGGACACACAATGTGTGTGTGTGTGTGTGTGTGTGTGTGTGTGTGTGTGTGTGTGTGTGTGTGTGTGTGTGTGTGTGTGTGTGTTTGAAGAATATATTGGTGCTTTCTAGAGTTTTGTTTTGATTTGGAAATGAAATGCACATTTTCTTTCCTTTTGTAATGTTCTGAAAACTGAAGGCACAATATTTGTCAATAGTTTGATAGACTTGTCTTTTTTTGAAAACTATAACTTTCAGTAACACGTGTGTGCGCGTGCGTGTGTGTGTGTGTGCCTTCAGCAGCAGAGTCCAGTGGAGCAGCGCTACAAGGAGCTTTTGGCCCTCAGAGAAGAATACTTAAAGAAACTGGAGCAGCTTCAGTTATCCGATTCTTCCTCTCCCTATCAGCTGGCTAACAGCACCACGCCAAACACCACCTCATCTACAGCCTCCACACCTTCACAGCAGTACACACACCTACAGACTCCGTTTTAAAGCTCTTCCTTCACAGACGAGAGGCAGAACCTCTTTTGGATTGCACTGTTCATGTCCTCTTATTTGAAGTCTTCTTTCTTTTTGTTCTAACTCACACACACTGCACAGGGAGAGGCTTGGTTTGGTTTTGGAAAAACTATCTCTTTCATTTGTACCTAATAGAAAAGTTGACAAATTGGTGAATTATGCAATATCTCTCTGAACATTTTAAACACAGCAAAGCTTTGAAGAATTTCAAAGTTGAAGGGCTCCAGAGGACAGGATGCACACACAGCCACTGCAGGTCGTGTTTTCTATAGTTTCTTATTTAATATAAACCGTCATTTAACATTATTGAGTTCATCAGAAGTTTGAATAATATATTAACTAGGTGAGACTAAGGTTTTTTTTTTTTGGTTTTTTTTTTAAAGAGGACAAGAGAACAGACAATTTAGGAAAACGACTATTTGGTACCTTAAGTGTTCTCAGGCCAGTTACCAACAAAGAAAAGTCAAACTCAGCCTGTCCAGAAAAATCACCTTCACCTCTACACGTTCTCCACCTCAGGCCGCCGAATGCAGGATCAGAAATCACTGCGACGCTAAGACGCCCAATCACCTGGCAGTTATTTGCGTCAACTGATTGATGTGCTTCATCTGTAGGGATGTTTGAGTTTCCATTCGGTGAGTCAGATGAGGTTTGTATGGACGGCTGCCGACGGCTGCACAAGTGATGAGTTTTGTTTTAGACTGGAGATGGCTTTAACAGGCTCACTGTAGGACTTGAGGTCGTGATCGCAGTCAAATATGCTTCGGAAAGTTATTTTTTTTATTGAAATTGCAAAAAGAGAAAGTTGTATGCAGATTTCTGTAAAATTAACTGAATATATCTTTTCAATAAGAGTAACATTACCAAAATGTGGAAGAATTGTGCTGTAAAGACTTCAGGCGCTGCATCTATCCCTGCTTTGATCCTACAGAGAAATGCATTAAAGCAGCTTCATCTGCAAATGTTTATTTGAAGACGGATGAAAACTTGATTTATTATGGATTTAAACTCAGCTATTCCTATGAGGTCGTCACTGTCAGGAAGGTTTTGCGTTTCTTAACCGATGTTACCGATGTTGATCAGAGACGAGCTGCCCTCTGTAATAACTCTCTCCTCTCTGTAATAACTGATAACATTTCAGTGGAACTCACTACCATGTTGGATTAACAGGTGCAGGAAATTATGTATTTACAGTTAATACCTACAACCAGTAAGCCAACAAAGTAACTATAAATGAGTTCAAATCTGAAACATGAGTTTCTAAACAACGAATCATTTTGACCAGTAGTATTGTTGAATAAAAATGATGATAATAAACCAAGTGAAACCACACTTGGAATAATAAACACTACCCCACAAGTTGTGAGCTAAGTTTTAAATGTTTTGCCATGAGTCAAGCTGCTGGTGCAGTTAATGTGCATCCTTCGAAGAGTTGCTCGACTCGTGCATCCGTTGAAGCCAGACTGTTCAATTTAAAGCCGAAACTGGCAAAGAGTGTTTAAAATGACAATATTCAACAAACCGTTGTGAATGTATTTTAGTATTATTACATGCAGACAACACAGAGGGATTAGGTTTGAGGCTCTGGTCATCAAATTTAAAAGCTGGATGGTAAAATGCGAAGTGTATGCAGCAGTATAAAACCAGGTTAAGTGTTTTTAGTTACTATGTGTAGGTTGACTTTCTGGATAGTAATAGAACTGAGGACTGGGACTGTACATTAACCTTGGAAGAGGAAAAAGGAGATGCATGTTGTTGAAACGATATTGCATTCATATTTCTGTCTCGCATAGAAGAAAACTTGAGGGCAAGACGTTTGGCTAAAGCTGGACTTTTGGACAGTTTCTGGTAAACTGCAGGTTCTATTACAGTAAAATGAATCTCACAGGGATGAAGTTGTAACTGGTTGTGGTGAGAAAACTGTCCAGTTAACTTGATAAATGTGTTTGTCAGCTACAGGATGTCGTTTACCTCGAGGTGAAACTCCCTCATACTTCTCTCTTTCACTTCCTGTGGCATAAGTGTGACTGTCTAAATATTTCACCTACCTTGAATTTTTAAAGCATTTCTGGATGTTTAAATTTATCAGACTTAAAATTTGAGTCCATTTACTCCAGAAGGATAAAATTCCTCTGATTTTAAAAACGGACCCCAGTGTTAGGCCTAGCATTAGCAGATTGACATGCCAACGGTTTTTAAAATGGGCCTCAGATCATCGTGCCTTGTTCCTGCCACTGTCTGAGACTGAGGGCATGCAGAAGAAAAGATGATATTGTGGGTACTAAACCGATGTTTTTCCTTTAGGCTTATGAGAGGTTTTCAAAAATTTTATTTTCTAAAGTCGGCTCTTCAGTAAGTTGGTGATATTTCAGACCATGTTATGTTCTTGACTCTTGAATTCAAAGCTCTAATGGTCTTAAATTCTAAAATTTAGTGATGGTCATTACATCAGATTTATTTTGAGCCCTTCTGAGACCGCTCTTTTGCAAATAAGTAAAACGAAAAGTGCCTTGTTTTTTAAGCGCTTCCTCTTTTTAATTTAAACCAAGCCACATTTCCTTATTCTCTCTCAGAACCAGAAACCCTCTTCAGTCGCCACGAGTGTTTACACTGACCAGACATCTGGTGTGTGTGTGATCTACTATTTTGACTTCCTCAGTCGACTTTTCAATCCACTCGTAGGTTTGTTTGTCTACTTGTGCCTTTCAGTCTTGCACACACACGTTGAACTGGCTGTCTGACTTCCATCGTCTGCTCAGAGTGCTATATTACCATCTACATTCTACCTCTTCACCCTACAAATGGCAGATTCACCAGAACAGCTGACTGCTGCCACCTTCTGGAGACACGGGAAAAGCTCAGAGCAGCATTAGATCTCCTGTCTGTGTGGGTCAGTTTCAGCTCAAATGAAAATGAAATGAAACTCGTCAGCTCGGTGGAAGCTACAGCAAACATTTATTTTGGCAGGATTGTTAGCTTTTTAGGAACAAACTATTCTCTCGTTTATTTAATTTGCACTATAACGTCGTTAGCTCAATCAGAACCTGTTTTATTGTCTAAAACCTATCTCTTTATTTACCTTTCTGATGAGTCGTTTGGGTTCAGAGGGAAAACATTTTAACCAGTGTTGTCTTAGAAGTTGTGGATATGAATTTTAACTTTGCTTTTGGGCTGAGGGGATCAGAAGGTGCTGATGTTCCTGATAAACTCTCTGCATGTTCGGCTCTTTTGACTGACAGTATTTGTCTCAGAGCGACGGCTGCGGAGGCGGAACGACTGTAAACTGATGGGGTTGTGGGGCATCAGAAAAATAGTTCTATTTGCTTTTGTTTCTAATATTTCTTTTTCCAAGTCATACTCTTTTTTTTTTTTTTTTTTTTTTTTTTCTGAATTTTGTCTTCAGTGTAAATATTTGTTATTAAATTACAATTTTCTAAAATCTCAACTTTTCTCTGCATTGATTGGCGTTGTCTCTTTTGGACTGATGCATCATTTCTTTCTCAGTTTCTTTCAGCTGCAAAATCAATTTCACATGGATTCATGAACACAAAAACAAAAGATATATTTGTAATTTCAGCATCTTTTATTTTCACAGACACATGATATAGTTCCACTTTCTTATACTTTCCCCCATTAATTGTCATTTTTATTTATTACAGTTAATGTTTTCTCAATCCTAGTTTTTATTTTAACTGTGATAACCTTGGTGATCAGTAACATTGAAATCCTCATTTTCACCTCTAATTAATGTGTCCATGCTTTCCTAACTCCCGGTGGAAAGATGTTACATTTACTATGTTCGTTTATGACGACATTGATTTTCTATGTTCCTACCAGTCAAATATTTTGTTCAATTTTCCCCCTTTTCAAACTATTGGATACAGTTTGATTAGTTCACCTTAGTTTGAAGCTTTATCTTCATACATTTGATCCAATTATTATTATGATTGAGTATTTTTTCAGTTAATTTTGGGTCAATAGATCCTGGAGATGTTTGTAATAATGTAGATGTACAGAATATGACCGGACCAGAAGGACAGAGTGGCAGGTGATTGCACATCAATTATTTTTATTTTTAGTTTATTGGACCAAATGGTAATCGGATGTTACCAAGAAGTTAGAAAACAGAAAATAATAAAGTTTTGAAATTGTGTCGTTTGGAAAAGGTTTGATTTCTGTTACAGTGTGGCGGCAAAGATGGTGGGAGAGCCAGGAAAATGTTTACTGATAATGTTTCTGAAGAAATGTGTGCTGGGTAGATGACCATTTAAAGATGATCGTGCAGATGAGACAGTGAGCAAAACATATCATGGAAACAAGTCCACTGGTCCTCCAGAGTTTCTGCTGACTGATATTTTCTGAAACTCTAAATGCCTCTTCGATGTTTAGCAACCTTTGAATTACAGTATGTCATTATTTGAATGACATTAAAGAGAAACGTAAAAAAAAAATGGAGAAGCTGAATCACATGAGGCCTCAGTTTGTCCTATTGCCATCAGTACTGTACCAAACTGATCTGTGGATATTTACAGTAACAGTGTAAGAAATTTGGTAGAGTACGACCTCCAGTAAGTGTATAATAAAACTTAGTATAAAGTGTGCATTTCAAAGACATTTCAAAATGGCGTTTTAGCTGGTAGGATAAAAAAAAAATCACTATCAAACAAAATACAGCAAATCATTTCCTTATAGTTCACTGATCACAGAGCAGGATCTCTCCATTTTCCATGAAAGCTCCTGCAGCTGAAGTTGACCTCCTGACCCCTGGTTTCCTGTGGCTGAACCCGGAGATCATCACTCGGATCGACGCTGCGCTGCATGAAGGGGGCGGAGCTGCAGAGAGGAAGAGATGCTGCAGAGAGGAAACCGAAGAGCCGAGACCCGGAGTGAAACGGAACCGAGCCGAGCCGAGCGCGGCCCCGGTGCTGAAAGCTGCCCGGATCTCATCTGACTGAACTGTTCGGGCGACATGGAGAAGAAAGACGGAGCCAGACCGATCCCCGGCGCCTGGAGGGGCCCGACCTCCGGCCAGACCTCCAGCCCGCCAGCCAGCCCCGATGCAGCGGACAGGTCAGCAGGTTCAGACCCGGCTCCACTGATCAGACCCGGTTCAGGAAAGTTCCTCCCGTTTGGCTGCTGGATGGCTCGATATTTTCGTTCCCGTCAGAGTTAAAAGAACGATTGAAGCAGTCTGTGATGAAAGTTAGTTTGTTCATCAACAGGAAGTCATAATGGAGTTGTAACAAAACGGTATCGGGTTCGCATGTTTTCTATGGCTTTAAACAAGAGACGAAAATGTATAAATAAAATCATTTTCAAATGAAACGAACATGATTTGAGGAGGACAGGACTCCAGTCTTTTCTCCCATTCACTTGGATTATCTCTGATAGAAGTACCGGGCCAATCAGCGACCAGAGGGAGAAGTAGTGACGACAGTCTGTCTGTCTGTGGTCTTATCACTGGCAGCCCTGGCCCTCTGTATGAAGCTAATGGTGTAGAACCAGGGTCTGGGTTCTACCGGGTCAGACTAACTGAGCTGTAATTGTGATTTTCAGATGATTAAAACAGGACTGAGTAACATTATGACTACTACTGTTGACTTAACATGAGATTCAGTGTTTTTGATGTTTGGTCTGCGACATAGAAACCCTTGGAATTGTTTTTGAATCCATGTGTCTGTTTTTACATTTTTTTTATAAATGAATGAAGCGTCATCTGTTATCTATTTATGGACCCTCTTGGTATTCTCAGGTCTTTGGTCTACAGTTGCTTCTGAAATTGTTTTCAGAGTTTAACCGATAATATTGATCTTTTTCAGTTTACTTTGAAAAGTTCACGGTTTAACAAACTGAGAATGAGTTTCCCTGAGCTGCTCTTCCGGTCATTCCTTCAGTTCTGCAGGTTCTCATGTGGAGTGGTGCAAGCAGCTAATTGCAGCCACCTTATCCAATCAGGTCCCACGAACAGCGGCACCAGATGTTCTGAACAGGGATACCAGGGTAACTATCACAAACCTAAAACTGACAAACTCGATGCTGACGTTAAGAAAAAAAATCTGTCATCACATTTCGGATATCAGGGCAACATTATCGGAAAGCATTGAGCTTTTCTGATAGATCAGAAAAATATGTACAGTTACAGTGTTTTCATTGCACCAGTTAGAGATTAATACAGTCCTAACTGCTCTGGTCTTTTGGCCCAAACAGGAACATTATCCAACCTCTGAAAGGTACTGAAGATATTGTATTGCATTTTCTACATACAGTCTAACTCAGTTCAAGTTCATTTTAGTCTGTCACTGGATACACAGGAATCTGATCTAGTTCTATCTAGTTTTTAGTGATCTTAACCAAACTCTAAACCATAACCTTCATATCCCTGATTTTGTTTTTCTGCTGCCATTTTTTTCAAGAAGTAGCAAAATTCAGAAAGTGAATCTTATTCGCTGCTTTGTTGCTTGAGTTCATTTCCATCTGAATTTGAGCTTCCGGGTTGATGAATGTGTTCTGCTCTGTTTTACCTGCAGGTGTCCAAAAGGCTGAGTTCCTGGGTAATATTTATGTTTCTTTCACCTGTTTACAGTGCATCTCCTTCACCAAGTTAATCATAATTCATATATAGCGTTACTCGTAAATATTTTTTTGGAAGTTGTCTATGTTTTATCAACCGATTTATGATTAGTTTTGCACTGCTGAATCCAAAAATGAGATTCATTTTCTCAATCAGATCAAGCTTTTATTATAATTTGATTCAGAGAAATTTGATCTTCTGACTAAATTGATGACATTTTTGGGACATTTTAACATTTCTGTTAAAATTCCTCATTCAAAAAAGGTTTCTGGAGAAAAAAAAATGTTTTAATTAATGAAATGTTACAACCTTAGATTTCTGTAGATTGAATAATAAACACTGATAAATGTAAGTACATGCGAATTGAACATTATGCCTTCATTGTGTAAAATTCTCCGTCTCTTTTCTGTCCTGATGGAATCTCTCCTCCTGCTCGTCACTCATTGGTCAGATTCTCAGGAAACTGATCCAGATGTGAGAAAAATCATGCATTTTGATGCTCATGTTGCTCCATAGATCAGAAAGTTGACCTGATTGAGCAAAACCCAACGTGATTTTAGGATTCAGCTCATCAACATGACCCTAAAACAGCCATTTTGGCTGTAGACCTGTAGGTACGTAATCGTACTCTCTGCTCTCTTCAGAACCGTCCAGCTCTGGGATTCGGTGCACTCGCCAAACTTTCACACAACCAAGTGCCTCTTCTGCCAGGAGAAACTGTTCAGATCACAGGTACTGTTCTCCATTTTCACGTGTTTCACTACCAGCATCATATTTGTCACAGTCTCATATCCAGGCATTTTCATATTCTGCCCTTAACCAGTTAACAGCCTTTTCTCTGTCTCCTCTCTCTTGTTGTCGTGTTTGTGTGTGTAATCATATTCAGTTAAAGATGTTATGTATATCTGTCCATTCAGTGGTCTTATCACTGGCACTCTGACCATCACTGACTACAAGCTCTACTTTACCAGTTTGATCAAGGTGCTCCTTCTCTTCCTTTCTATTTCCTACAATGTTCTTTCTGTGTGAGCTAATGTCAGCCTGTTGTCTTTAAGGACTCTTCTTTTATTCTTGATGTCAACTTGGGAGCAATAAGCAAATTGGAGAACATTAATGTTCCTAACCAAGGAGATGACACCAAGGGAATCGAGTTGGTTTGTAAGGTAAAACCTTTTCTGCTCCACTCTCCTCTAAGAACCCGACCTCCAAATCTCGTCCACATAAGTTTGTTTAGGGATGCACAATATCTGATTTTTGGTCGATATCTGATATGCCGATATTGTAAAACTCGTACCAATACCAATGCCAATATTTTCCTCCTATATGGCTTTCTCTACTGTGGAATTAAAATACTGCATTATTTTTGTCAATTTAGCCAGCTACCAAATGCAAATGCTAAAGATGATGCAACACTTTCAACTTGCATTATGTTTCATGTCTAGTTTATTCATGACATTTCCTCTGCCATCACTCAAATTTGACGTTGTGCATCACTGTCACTGCTTTGTCATATAACAACACCTTTTATATCGGTGAGATTTTTTTGACAGAATGTCCGATTTAAAATTTTACAGCTAATATCGGCCGATGCCAATGACGATAATATTGAGCATCCCTATTTTTTTTTGTTTTTTTATAAGTTTTTTTTAATTATTATTGTTGAAAGTTTTCAAGTTGACTGTTTCTTTTTTCTCTCATTGTCCAGGACATTAGGAGCACCAGGTTTACCTACAAACCAGAAGAGAACCAGCCAGATATTGAAGAGGTTTTGTCCAAACGTGCTTTCCCTCTGTCCAGCAGTCTGGTTAGTCCAGTTAAGAAATCATTACAATGGTAAACTGGACGTTGCTAGGTAACAAAGACCGGGATGTTAGCTCATTTATTATTAAAACTATTTAAAGATCAAGTGGTCAGCAAGCATTAATTAGAAATGATCACAGCACCTTTTACCTCTCAGAGCGCTGAACGCTGACAGCTGCTCACAACAAAATCATTCTCACACCGTATATAAGAATATTGAAAGATATTATTAATATGAAAACAAACAGCTAACACAAGCAAAGCAGTTTGCAGGAACTCAGAGTGGAGTGTCATGATGGAGCGAGGATGCTGAGATGAACTGGTGGATGTCAGTCACTTGTTTGTGTCTCCACATTTCATGTGATATTACGTAACCTTATGTACAGATTTATGTGGGGATTATAATTCTGGGAATAACATCGTCCTGTTAGTGCTGCATGAAGCTCAGGCAGATTTAAATCCAGAATGTGGAACCACAGGCGTTTTTGTAAATTTGTAACTTAGGTTAGTAATTTCAGTGTTTTTAATGTAATTACATTTTTTAAAATATATATCTGAACCCATTTTTGTCTTCATCGAAGGGGATGACAAAAACAGACGACGTGTCTTTTTTTGAGTTGTGTTGACTTTGCGTCCGACAGACTGAACGTTGTCACTTTTTTCTTCAGCCGTTTTTTGCCTTCAAGTACAAGGAGCAGTTTCCTGTGGACGGCTGGAAGGTCTACGATCCGACAGCAGAGTACAACCGGCAGGTAACCACAACAAGCTCCCGGCTGTTGGTGTGAATCACTTCTTTAGTTTGGTTTCCTGGGACGATTGTCAGTAAAACCGAAGGCAAGTTTTTTCACCCGATCAAACTTTCTAGCAAAAACAACAGAGATGTGACGTGTGCAGACGTGTATGGCTTTATGTTCTGAGAAAAGAACTTGGTGAATCTTGAACTGGTAGAAACGACGTGAACAAGCTGATTCGACACGTTTCTGTCAGTCTCAGATATTTGGATTTCAAACATTGGTCTAAAGGAGAAAAAAAAAACTAATAAAAACTGAGAAGTCAAAGGTTCTAAGCTTTCCCATTTCTTCTTGATCTGTTGGTGAACTCTGCTCGTCTTAAACCAATGAAAGTTTAGATTTAAGCAAAGTGTTTTTTTTGTTTGTTTGTTTTTTTGTCCCGTCACCTTAAAAGATGAAGATTATGCATCTGTCACTCTCTTACCTTTGTGTGTGAACACGCTGCACCAGGGTCTACCAAATGAGAGCTGGTGCATCAGTAAGCTGAACCTCCACTACGATCTGTGTGACACCTACCCCTCCGTCCTGGTTCTCCCCAACAACATGACAGAAGAAGACACACAACGCGTGGCGTCATTCAGAGCCAAGCGCCGCCTACCGGTCAGTGGTTTTCACAGACGTTTGTCCATCTGTACCGGAGCTGATGATGATCCAGATAGCAGCGGGAAAAAAAACCAAACTGTTTCTTAAGAATTTGGCAGTTTCAGTTTCCCTCCATTACTCCATTGGATTAAAGGTTGACCTACAAAAAGTAAATCATCTTTCATATCCAACCAGGATCTTAAAAACAAGAACCTACAGGGTTGAATCTAAACACACAAAATACACATTTTGTTGAAACAGAGCAAAAATTATGACTGTTTGTAAAGTAACAGTCACTTATATACACGTACAAAACTGGCTTTGACTATACTTTCATTTATTTACAATAATTAATAAAAAGACATTTGGGGAAAATAAATAAAAACAGGCTAACTTTGTATTGGGCTCCACTGTGGCAGAAAGAGCAGCAGAATGAGGAAAAGTGGTCAGTTTGTCCTCTAGTAGCCCAAGCCCTGTCAAAGCTACAGAGATAGCTCAGGTTGAGCACCGCCGATCTCTGCTCATGGTTCGGGTCACGTCTGAGACTTTCCGTCTGTCCCTGCAGGTCTTGTCCTGGATCCACCCGGAGTCTCAGGCCGCTGTGGTTCGCTGCAGCCAGCCGCTGGTCGGCCCTCTGGACAGCCGCTGCAAAGAGGACGAGCGCTTCCTCCAGCTCATCATGGACGCCAACGCGCAGTCCCACAAGCTCACCGTCTTCGATTCTCGACAGACCAGTGAAGCCCTGTCCAGCAAGGTGAAACACACACACACACGCAGATGTGTGTTTTTAAATATTTTGTTTGATCTACAATCAGATAATATACACTGAACAAAAACACAATGCTATTTTTTTTCTCACCAGCTGTTTTTATTACAAATGAGCACAAATCTTTGTCTATATTCTGTTAAAATAAACAATTTCACAACTACAGTGTTTCTATTTAATGAGAAATGACATTAAAAATCACATGTGAATAACTTTGTTCATGCTTTAAGTTATTAATAATTATGGGAGTGACGGCTGTAAACAGTTACATGAAATATCTATAATACATCCATAACTCAGCCGTGGAGCTGGAGCTCATCATCTGTCAGCCAATCAGACGAGACGTCTGCGTTTTATTCAGGCGTTGGAGCAACAAGCCCCGCCTACTTGTGTGCTGACTTTTAGGGAAACCAGGAAACCACCCAGAAACCACTTCCTGTCATATACTTCTTGGTTTTAGTCTTGCAACATCCTGCTGTTGATCACACGACTCATGTGAGGCAAAAAAAAAAGTGCAGTTCTATGAAATACATCGACGACGGCAGATAAACAACCTCATCCCAGCACGAAAACCTTTTGGTGAAAAACGCAAGTTTTTTTTTTAATCGGCATGTTTCCATTAATCAAATGTATTTTTGTCATTTCAATTTGCACAATCCTCTGATGAATGAAAAAACACCTGATGACCTGAATATTTACCGGTCTGATAATAAATCAATGCAAATGTTTCCTTTATTAAATCAGTTATGAAAATCAAAAACATTTTTATTTGAGACTCCAGGATAATTTAAAGTTTTTTTTGTTTCTTTTTTCCAAATCTTTTATTTAAATGCACAAATTTTACTAAACTATCCAAGATTTCAATTTATTGATTGATATAATTTGAATTATTTAACGGTATCACCGTTGAAACCTTTTAAATCACCAAGACTACCAAGATATTAAGGAAATGTAAATATATCTCCTCTTTTAAAGAAATTAAACAATCCATATCTCAATTAATCTTCTCTCAGACGTAGCTTTGATTATTCTGATTTATCTAAAACAGGAACATTTAGGTTTGACTTAAAAATGGGTTTGTCTTTATTTAGTCCATGTAAATATTACATTTTTAACTTCTTCTGTCTCCGTCTGTTCACCCGAACGAACATAAAGGCAAAAGATGGAGGATATGAAAATGAAAATTTCTATCCCAACATTGAGCTGATTTTCCTGGAAATTCCGAACATCCACGTGATCCGGGAGTCTCTCAGGAAGATGAGGGACGTGATTTATCCGACTATTGATGAGGCCCACTGGCACTCTGCCATCGACCAGACTCACTGGCTGGACTATCTACGAGTAAGTCTGATAAATATCCACAAATATGAAAGTGCTACAGACAAAAAAACCCAAAAAAAACAGAACCTTTTGTTTTATGCAAAATGTTCCTGTATTGTACAAACAGGATATTGTAAATCCTGTATCTGACCCTGTTGTGTGCAGCTCTTGCTCTCAGGAGCAGTGAAAATAGCCGACAAGCTGGAATCTGGGAAAACGTCGGTGGTGGTCCACTGCAGTGACGGCTGGGACAGAACGGCTCAGCTCACTTCCCTCTCAATGCTGATGCTGGACAGCTACTACCGGACGCTGCGAGGATTCCAGGTGACTCACTACGAGTCATTGATACGGTTTTAAAGGGGCAGCGTCATGTAAAATGGACATCATTTTAAATGCTATTCCCTCATCAAAGACATACCTGAAGTGTTGCTTTGATTCCGTCATTCATGTTTGAGAACTTTTGTCATCTCCATGCCTGGGTGGGCCTAGCTCCGCCTTTGAGGCGCAGCTCCTCCTCTGAGCTGCAGGTTCCCAGCCTCACTGAGCAGCCCCGCCCCCACTCAGCTCCTTCAGACTAGACAGCAGCAATTAGCAAAAACCTGGGGGAGCTGTGCATCTGCTGAGCTCATTACAGGAGCCACTTCTCAGTGAAACGATGGTGAAAACACTGTTAAAGGGTCAAGAGGAGCCAAGTAGTGATGACGTCTTCAAGGCGAAGTTTCAGAAAGAGGAGTTTTTTAAAGAGACAGAAGCGCTAAATTACAAAGTCAAATTCCTTTTTAAGTAATATTTTATGACTTGAGCATTTTTATAACAACTGAAAGTAAGACTCAAAACGCACTACGTCTACAACAAACACAGTTAATAGTACATTTAGTTTGAAGGGACATTTTTTGTTTGTTCAGGTTCTGCTGGAAAAGGAGTGGATCAGCTTCGGACACAAGTTTGCTTCTGTAAGATGTGTTCAGCTTCATGAAACGTTTCTGCTGTGTATCTGTGTGTGTGTGTGTGTGTGTGTGTACTCACTGCTGGATGTCTTCCTGTTCCATGCAGCGCGTTGGACACGGTGATCAGACCCACACTTACACAGAGCGCTCACCTCTGTTTGTTCAGTTTATTGACTGCGTTTGGCAGATGACCCGACAGGTGAGAGTTTTATGCTCAGTTTCAGAACTTGAGACCGTAAATATGAAAGCCGCATCCACCGGCATGTGACACTACTTCTCAAAATCATTCTCCACTCTTTTTTTTTTTTTTAGTTTCCTTCGGCCTTTGAATTTAATGAGCTGTTCCTCATCACCGTCCTGGATCATCTCTACAGCTGCCTCTTCGGCACCTTCCTCTGCAACAGTGAGCAGGAGAAATTAGCCAAGGTGTGGTCATGGTGACAGTAACATACACTAAATATTTATGTAATACCACAATCTTGTAATTGTTTTTTTTCTGAAATTGTTCTTATTTCTTAACCAGGAGGTTCACACCAAGACACTGTCCCTGTGGTCCTACATCAACAGGTGAAAATCTGTCCATCTGACTCCAGGTAGCTAATAACCAAACGTTTGACCTATTGTGACCCTGATGTCGTCCTCCAGCCAGCCCAGTGAATTCACCAACCCGTTCTACCTGGTCTATGAGAACTGCGTTCTGTATCCGCTGCTTTCCTCCAGACACCTGGAGCTGTGGACCAGCTACTACGCCCGCTGGAACCCACGCATGAGGCCGCAGGTAGTGCAGCCGTTTGCTTTACTTGAGCAGATTAGCAAGATATTCAAACAGCGGCTTTAAAAATTCTATTTAAAAAAAAAATTCATCTGGCTTTAATTAATTACATACATTTTGCTGTTATTGTTCCGATTCTCCCCCTTCCATTTGGTAGTTTTAAGTTTTTCGCTCTGTGATGTTTCCCCAGGTGCCAGTGCATCAGACGCTGAAGGACTTGCTGTTCCTCAGAGCGGAGCTGCAGAGGAGGGTGGAGGAGCTGAACACACACCCAACACCTGAGCGCCCGAGCCCTTACACAGCAACCTCACTGCACTCTGCTGTTTGAGACACTGAAGTGTCCTACCCAAAGTTTTGACCCAGTAAATCAAATGCTAGAGACCACAATGTTTTCAGTTGAAAATATTGAAAATATTTTTTTTCCCCCTCAAATAAAATGAGTAAAGTCAAATAACAGAAAGGATTTTATTCCAGCGATGGAACTACCGTGAGAGCAGGCGGCACAATTCCGGGTGATTACAGGAAAATAATCTGGGAGCACGGCGAGGAGAGGGATAAAAAAAAACAAAACAAAAAACGGTTTCCTGGCCAAAACGAGAGACTTGACAAGCAGGTGAGATCCCAGAGCCTCGGAACGCAGCAAACAGTGCAAGACAAGAGGCTGGGTTTTACCAGGCTAATATTTTAGACCAAAGATTATGTAACATTTTCTGGGTATTGTTGATTTAAACTGTAGGACTCAGATCGGCCGTTTACTGTGACCTACTTGGTAGATTTATCACAACAACCTGCTTTGCTACAACATAAGATTACATGGTGCAGAAAATTTGTACAGAATAGTTGACAGAATATCCTTTACACCACGTTACTGGGGTCCATCATTAAAACACTCATTACAATAGAATAATTCAAATATTGGACAAATGAAAGATTTAGCATACATATTAATCGCAATTCATTCAAATTCATATCAACATAAGTGTTGATATGAATTTGTAAAATGCATAATAATCATTTTGGTAATGGGTACATTGCTTCCTAAAAGGAAACCCTTCAGCTTCTTTTTAAAAACTGACTTCTGTTCAGGTTTTTAACAACCGTAAGTGTTGACATAAAAGTTAAAAGTCCAGCTCTACAATGATCGCATCAGTATTTACCACGAAATCACAAAAAAATATCTGAGACACGATCTAAAAATTGACGAACTGCTAGTTATGGACAATGTTTCATCCGACCATTTTTAAGTCCCATGTAAAAAACAATTTCCATATTTGAGCCATACACACATTTCAATATTTTCTGATATTCTCTTCAGAAATTACAGTGGAAGCGGAGTCTCTTTATTAATTCTTTATTTTACTAGTTTATGTTGGAGACAACTGGAGTACATATAATAATAATTCAAGTTAAATCAGTTAACTGGCACATCTTAAGCAGAGTTCAATATTGTGAAAAAGTCATGGTAAAAAAAAGTACATTTCCTTCAAATTCTAGGGTTTTAGTTCTGAGACATGGTTTTCAATTTAGAAAATTTTGTTTGGTTCCCCTAGGATTACCTTGAATGATTGAAAACCTGGTAAAGTCCACATGATGTCAAAACCCTACAACCGACAAAGGATGTCTTTTTTGTTACAATGGCCAACAGTAGACACACATAGAGAAAAACATGCAGCAGAGAGTACAAAGGAACAGTCTCAGTTCGATACAGCATTATAACAGCAGAAGTACAAAGCACACAAACAGATCCAACTACGGTTAAAGTCTCTAACTCAAGCAGCAGCTTTTCACATTTCTGATCTGGACATGTTTTTGTTGACATTCAGAGAAGTGATACGTTTCAAATCATTTGATTTGCAGAAAGAAGCATTCATGTCTAGAACAGGCACTGAAGAGGCATCACAAGTGAAGTGATTTTTGTTGTTGTTCTTTTTTGAGTAACAATTGGTCAAAGCAGTAAGTGAAGGTCAGTAAATGACATTTCCAGATTTAGAAATGAGGTGTGTGTGTGTGTGTGTTGACGTGAATCCAGGCGTGTGGAGCGAACAGAGGTCATCGTGTGATCAGGAGCGACGGTCAGATTGTGTCTTATGAAGAAAACAACTCATCCCATCTGGTCTGGGACTGTGGTAGTGCTGACATTTCCTAATATTCACATAACTACAGTCAGAAGAAAAATGGCTGATTCTGAAAGACAACAGTGTGTGTGAAGTACTTTCAGATTTCAGTGTAAAGATATAAGAAGATAAGAGTAAACTCATATATAAGCCTTTATAAAACCTTTTCTTAATTTCTTCTGCACCACATTTTCAGATTAGAAGAGATGATTTTACAGCATGTCACAAAGTTTCTATAATTGTAAACTGAGTTTAGGCCGGGATTCAAAACAAAGACCTTCTCTTGCTGCAAGGCAACATTGCTACCAACTATTGCCCCGTGCAGCCATGCCAGTAAATCTGTCACAGTAAACACACTAGTCAGGTACAAATTTCTAAACTTGCAAGAGAAATAAATAAAAGTAATTCACAAAGTAGTTTTGCAGTTTCACTTACATGTGTCAGAATGTGAGATTAACAGGAAAAAAAAAATCATTTCAGCCATCAAAAATTCTAAAATGTGTTTCTCTACTCAGCGAAGGCATGGCGCTGACCTGAGCTCTGAAGAAACGACAGAACCTGCTGGTCATTCACTGGTCAACACTGAGACAAACTCCAGACTCACTTCCTACAGACTACGTTCTAAAATGTGCATTTTTCTAATGCAAACCTCATTAACACACTAAATGGAATTCATACACAAAGGTGAGATGCTGATTTGAATTCAAGTGGTTCTACTTCTAACAACATGAAATGCTCAGTAGTGTAAACAGGAGTTTATAGCTTAGATAAGCACCATGCCTTAAAAAAAGCCTATCATGGTACAAACATGGAATTTGCTATGTTTATATATTAGTACACTATATGTGGATGAAATGACAGCTGAAATGTCTGACTGACTCAGTGACTGACTGGTTCCTAAACTGTATTGTCATCACAAGGTGGTCCAGACTTTGGTTGTTCCAAAAGCGTCTGTTGTGCTGCAGAAAGAAAAATAAATCAAAAAAAATTTTCAGTCACACATAAATCCATTAAAGACAAAAAATAAAAACAGACAAACAAAAAAGGTATACAACAATAAAGTGGTTTGAAAGTGGAGCAATCCTCAGTCTCCACAAGGTTTGATGACATCAACCCTTCAGGGATGACCATGAGTCACCGAACACCAACTTAGGATATAAATTCATTGTAACTAGAAGGTCAGAGGTCAGAATTGTCACAATGCAGCGCCACATTTTGACAATTCCCCTGCCTTAACATAAGCCCAGGGAACCCTCAATTTGAATAGACTTGTGTAAAGGTGTGGGACACGTGTAATCCATAAATACCAAATGTCTTCAGTTTGGCTGCAGGAACCCATCTGTAAAGTTCCATGTCTGTGACAAAGATCATTAAATTCTCTCCAGTAAATCTAATTTACACTGAATGCAGTTCTGCTCCGCTGTGCACCAGTCATTACCCATCTATTACAGTCTCACAGATTGTAATATTTACTGTTGTGTACAGTTGGGAGTTTGTCACACAAATTACATTTTCTTTGGCTTTGTTGCTTGGTCATTGCCAACAGACTCACCAGTAGATGTATATGTTGGAGTGTGTGTCTGAGGGTAGAATGACGCATGTGAAATGAAGTAGATGAAGTACCTTGAGGTTCAGTTGCCACCACTCCCTCTGGGATTTCAGCCTTATTGATGTCAACATTCAGGCTCTCTGTGGAAAGAGAGATTCTCAGGAACATTTTCGTTACCTTGTCATAACTGCCTACAAATAAAAACCAACAGCTTGGTGTGAAAACTTTAGATAAAAGAAAAGTCATGATAGCTTGGAAGTATTTCAGATATTTAAGACGAAAAAAAAAAACCTAAATAATTAACAGTATCTAGTGATATAAAATGCTCATAACATGATCGGTTTTGCAGAAATATCACCCAGCTCTAGCTTGAATGCTATTTGAATCCAAGCAATCTATATAAACCGCTTACTTATTAATTAATTTGACTTTTTGGTAGAATTTCATTTTAAAATGGTTAAACAATTGCTAACCTAATTTGTTTCTAATTGTTAATTAGTAAAAGCTGATGGAATGTTTTTTTTTGTTTTTTGGAATTTACACTTTCTACTTCATTGATTGTTTTTCTTTTGAAAGACATGAAATCAAATTATACTCGGGCCAGTTACTTTTTGTACAACTAAAATAGAAGTTCACCACTTTTTTCAGGCCTCTGATTGGAGAAAATCACATTCTCCACACAGAGGCTTAAGTTTATGACACAGTAACTTGCGATTCCAACATTCTCACAGCTTAGGATGACTTTAGTAAGGAACCTTACGTTGTATACTGAAGCACAATTTCTTCTTTTGGTAGCTTATGTAGCTGGTGATGGCCCCCACCAGCGCCATGCCAACGGCACTGACTATTCCTGCGATGGTGCCGACCTCTGGAGCGACCTCTGTGGACACACCAGCATACACAAAAAGGCTGAAGGTCTGCAAGCCATCCGTTTTAGAACAAAAAGATCAGACACCATTGTTTTCACTCACCGTTGTTTTCACCATGGGAACTCTGACTGGCGTCTCCTTTTTTATAGCCTCCTGAGGAAACAGAGGTCAAATAGAAACCCATTTTAATAAAGCACAATGATTAACTTTAGGCTGATTTTCAGTAAAGGGAAAAAAAAAAGCAGACCTTTTCCTTTGTCAGGTTTGTAGGTGTTATCGTTGCTCACATCTTCCAGATCACTGTTAGAAAATCCTCCTGAGAAAAAAAACAACGTTGAAGGTAAAGACTCGCTGCACTCCTTAGAGGCAATAAATCTGGTGAGTCGCTGCATCAACCTGTAGGGGATAGTGGCTGCCCCCTGGGTGCTGGCTCCTCACCCTGTTTCCAAACACCCTGAGCTCAGAGGAGGTGTCCTTTAAAGGGACGGTATACCATCATTTGAGTTGGTTCCTACAGAAACGGGGCTCCTCTGTAGATTTTAGTGGATTTTTGTACTTTGTAACTGTCCACAGACAAAGTCTTTGTAACTGTTGCACATTTTCGCAGCAGGTAAAACGTCTGTGTAAATTTACACGTTTTTACACATGCCGACTTGTGTGTGAAATATGGTGAATGCATTCTCTCGACATGAGGCCCCTGGGTGTTTCTGTTGACGACAGGAGTCAGCCTGGTGCTGAGTCTGCGATTAAACTGATCCAATTTTATCCAAGGATTATGCAAACACAAACGTTTTGTGGGACTTCCAGTTTGGGAGTCAAAACCCAAAACATGTTGACCTTCATAATTGTGCCATCTACTGATCAAATTTGCCCCACCCCACCCCCGTTCCTTCTTCCCCACCCTCCCACCCCACTTTATACCCACTCATCCTGTCCCACTCTCCCTTCTCTCCCAATGCAATACACACCAATCTGCAGAGTATGAAAAATTAACAAAATAAAAAACTTTTCTGCCTAATCTTCATAATTTTGTATATGATTTGTGCTTCCCTGACAAAATCTCTTCAATTTCACAAATGTGAGTCATACTTGATCCTGCAAGTGTCATCAAATACACAAACACTGATATCTAAAATGCCTGGTACTTAATTAATTAATTACTAACACTTACTGCATTTCAACCTGTTCTTCACAGTACAGCCATACAGGGATATTGCAGTAACTATACATTTGCAAAATACTGTGCACTACTAGCTGACATCACGCAGACAGAACTGAAATAAAATGTAAAAATTGTTTAGTAATAATTGCTGTGATTTTTTTTATTTCTTCTGTCTTTGAGGATCACCAAATCACTTGGATCTGAACATCATCTATCGTCATCAATAATCATTTATAAATTCTACCTCCTGGCTTCTGGTTTTGATCCAAAGCATCTGCCAGATCGAAGTCTTGTCCAGCTGCAAAGATTAAAAGAACAATTATGAACACCATGTGTTTTTAGATTACATAACCAACAGGAAACCAAAACTAAAAATATTTTTTTTATCTCCTCGAACACTTATGTTTATATCTGAAAGCTCTTCATCTAATAGTAATAATAATAATAATTTCTAAAAAGTTATTTCTAGATCTAAAGCAGATTGGTAGAGTTGTCTCACTCACTTGACTTGGGTTTTGTCTTCTTTGATACTGCAGTACTTGCAGGGAGCTTTGGTCTGACGTTTACTGGGACTTTGGTGGTTGTAGTTC